TATTAAAAAATGGGTCAATAATATAATACCTAGTATACCATCGGAAGAAGCAATTAGTTAGTATATGGGTATCTACCTATCAAGGACTTGTTCCGATACGTTACAGTTACATCTTCTATTGTGAGTGCATTATAGGTAGCACGCTCTAATAGAAATCTAGTCCTTTAAGGACTACCGTACACTCATTATACTTCTTCTGACAATTTTTAGGTAACATGATTTAGTTCAACTCTTCCGTACTAACATTTAGTTTCTCTAACATTCATCTTAATTACCTTTTCTTTGACGTTATCCTTTTTTTCGCAAATAAGTGGGATTAGCCCACTTCTCACTCTTTTTTAACCAATTGTATTAGTCATTACCCTCATCCACTGATGAGCCTCAACGGTAATGACGAAAATGGTTCGTATGGATAGGAGGCGAAACGAACCATCTCTAATTCTTTATCCAATTTTTCTAATTCCATCGTTATTGTTTTTCTTTATTTTCCTGTTTCTTGCGTACTATATGTGGACCAATTCTGGCCAGTTCTTCCCAATGCGTGTCACAAGAATTTTCGCACTCAAGTAGTATGACTTCATGTTTAACGGGTCAAATTACCCCTGAAGCCACTTTCTAGTGGAATCTGGGATTTCGACCGGACTTCGAAACTTCTGCGTATTGGTGAATGGCAACAGTGTGGAGCGTGCCTACCATCGGTGACTGGTCTTCCGATGGAATTTCTTCCAGTACCCAAAGAATATGGATGCAGATCATAGGAACACCTGAGCAGGGTCAAGCATACGTCGCGGAATCCGCGAGGTGGGAGTCGTATTCGTGCAGCCTACTCGTTCTCGTGTGTTTACGTGTTCAGTATATTCGCTGTGTGTTCAGTATTGATCTTTGCAAATACGACTCTCCCTCCAGGTAGCAAGTGAACCTATAAGGCGCATTTCCTAGAAGCCTTGAGCGGCGCCTCTGTGCTGCGTTCCGATTCACCACATGATGAGAAGGTGCGCGAGATGTGGGCTTCATAGGAGATCCTCATACTGCAGCTGAAGCTGACTTTTAAAGCGCAATCCGCGACCGGCGAACAATAAGCACAACACTACGACTTACACTACTTCTGAGAAAGTAATCTCTTCAATTTCCCGTGTTTTTGTTCGATTGGTTTGGTGGATATTCTTAGATTCTCAGATGCTTATTCGGTTGAAGTTGCAAAAAACAACATATACAGCATATACCTCAATACGCTTCTCACTCACTGAGGGGAAGGGTGGGGGCGTACGAACTTTCCAATTTCCACGACGTGATGCTTGTCCCTACCAGATATTGCTCTTTGCAAAATACATGACTAAAGAGTTAGTTCAGCTCGAAGACCAGATAACAATGATGGGTTAGACCTAGTATCGCTGGTGGCCGCAAATCAGCCGTAGGTGAGCCAACCCCACTTTTTTTAAGGTTGAGTTGAAGTCTCTGATCTATTATTAGGTTTTTGCATTTGGTTCCTGAACCGGAATAATCACACTGGTTTTTGAGCAAGCATTGGCTTGTCGTGCTAGTGGCGCCGATTGTCTTGGAACGACATTGGTGGTTCTACTCAGGTGGTCGCTAGGGAGGGGGGTCGTCTTTGATACTGTGGAGAGGGAGGGGGTCGTATGCACTTTCAAGAGAATTTTGCCACGTTGGGAAAATTTTTTTTTCTTTCCGGTTGTTAGACTTTTTCGAGTATTGTAGGAACAGTGGTAGTGGATGCTGGAGAAGGGGGAGGGTTCGTACCAAAGACCATTCTTTCCAGGTGGGGGAGGGGTTTACGGTTTGACACCACCATTTTACACATCACGATGCTGTACCCTAATTCCATAGCCAACCACGCGGTTCGCGATAGAGGAGACATTTGCTTTTTGCTGGCTGCTACTTTCGTGGTTTACAGCCGGCCAACCAACTAACGCAGAATCAGCCAAAAATTGATGTCCTGAACGCAAGTCGAAATAATAGTTGAAGGTAAAGAGAAGAGCATGAGAATTTCAAGACAATCTATTATTTTCATTAACTATGACACAAGAGATCTGTTAGAATGGTATTGTAGCGATTTAGAAGAATCCATAGCAAATGAATAGAGAAAATGAAATACTTGGTTAAAGGACTTGGAACAAATCTCCACACGGCAAACATGATATTAAGAGAAGAAAACATAAATAACAATCAAGGCATAACGACATAATTAAATTGGACGAAATCTGATTGAGTTAGAGGGCTTTGAAACTTTGCAAGCTCCGCTAAGAATTCAGTAAGACCTCATGGTATATACAGGACTGAATAAGGTACATGCCACCTATTCCGCGCCGTAAAACGGTTACGCTACTCGTCGTAGTGCGCTAGATTGCAAAATGGTTCAAATCAGTTGAGAAAGTCACTCAGGATTAAAAGCACATTCCACGATAAGTGGCTAGGCAAGGTAATGGACGCAGGTCAGAGCAGAAAGTGGAGCCTGAGAGGGGGTGATGAATGAGGAGGCTTGCACGACATACAATAGAAAAGGGTGCCTAAAGAGTGCGGCTGAAAAGGCTGAAAAACCCCATCAAAGATAACAAAGCGACGCGGGCCCATTGCGGCTTTCCCCATTGTCTAATGCTTATTTGCTGGCCACGATTCTCTGCGATTGTAGCAAGGTCAAGACTTCGCGACGGCCAGGCGCTTCGTCGAGCGATCTATGCTGCATGCATTCTAGCTGATCGATCGCGTCTAACGCCGACGAAGCGGGCTGTCGTTGCGAAGTCTGACGCTGCCGCTACTATGGACTTTCAGGCGTTTGCTAGTGACGAAACGTGTCATTGCTGATGGAGGGACAGGTATCTGCCAAAAACCCCCCCGCCAGTGTGAAAGACGCAAAATCATATGGCGAGTCGCGAGAAGAAATTTTTCAAAGGGACCGGACTCTAAGGTGGGTGAGCCTCCCTCCAGGCGGTAGAAACTGGAATGCGTGGGCTTACAGTTCTCATATAGTGCCAGACGAGAGAGTGCAGAGGAAATGAATGGGATTCAAGGGATTGAGTTCACGTATTCCGTGGACAATCTGCAACTTGCCCTTGGTGTACGTATACAGTGCGCGGCTTAACATTTCTGGCCGATGCCACGTTATGGGATTGCGAGGCGATTCCGAGTTTTGCGCGACGTGCGGCAGGAACATACACTACACACCCTTCCTTGGAATAACTAAGAACCGCAAGATCGCCAGCGTTGACCCGCACAGCATGAACAGCTACAGACCGCGCGCTCCGAAAATCCACGAGTAGTGTAACTTAGCAGTAGCGCGGAATTGATGGCAAGCAAAAGGGATAGACTAGTGTACAGCATTTTCCTTACAAGTAACTATAGATAACGAGATAATTGTGGGAACCCGTGAGTAACAAGCTTAGCGCGAGTTTCTGGTTAAACAAGGCAAATGGTGTGCACCTCGTTGATCAGACAAAGATATGCGGCGCTCTATAGGAGAGAATAAGTGTACAGAGTATTAAAAAGAATGAAAAAGTCACAAAGCACACACGGTCGATCACCATCGCGGCGAACATCCAGTCAGCTCGTTCGGCATGCATGATTTCCTGAACAGTTTTCACTCGTTGTTCGGAAACGGCAAGGTGGAGATGTATAGGGCGATAAAGGCATCAGCTGGGTAAACTGCCCTCAGTTTTGTTAATGATCTCTGCTCTATCTCCCACTGAGATAAGCTTCGAATCGGGACCTGCAAATACTTGAACCGAGCTCACTAACCTCTTTCTTAATTCGGTTTGATATCACTTTCAACTCATCAATGATACCAGCGTACTGTCGTTCGTCCATAAGGCTCCGTGTGGGAACAGGGAGCGGTGATTTCCGATCGACAGGCTCCGGAGGGTTCTGGAAAGGATAAAACATCGCGGGTGACTCTGAAGATCTACGGGTGGCGCAAGGCAATAGTGACGCGGAATGGCTGGCCGGCACCATCCAGAGACTAGTGTACAGTACTTCACTCGGAGCTTTACTGCCCGACTCCTTCCGTTTCCAAGATACTTTAGAGGCATGGCAGTAAATTCGTTTGGCACTTTTCCGATACTACAATCCCGCAATGTAAGTTTTTTTGCTGAAAGTGTAACTGTTGGGGTCACTGAAAGCCTTTACAATGGCACAATGGTTTGGCTTCGCCATTTGACACCAACAAGCGCCAATCCAGCGCCACCACCGTCCCACCAAGGTCGACATGATTTAAAATACTCATATGCGCTTCAATCATGAATAAGACATTGGTTTTTAGTACTAGGGTCACCTGGCGCAAAGTCGACGCGCCATCTTGGCGCAGCGGTTTCTTCACTAACTTGTAATAAAATTGCACGCAGATGCCGGCGGTCCGGTGGTTACGACTAAGGGAAATGCCCCCGCAGAGTTTGTTCAGATATAACTTCGGAGGATATAGGACCTTTCCCTTAAAACGTCTGTTCGCACCGACCGTTACGAATTTCCCGCGGTGGTCTGTCATACTTCACTCTTGACTCCAAACACCGCTACCAACCCTCCCGTCCCTCGGAATCGGTTGCTATTACACTTTGCGTCCGATGGAACAGACAGTGACCTGCACAATTTCCTCGTCAGGTACCTGTACAGGACAATTCTCATGCCGAACGCTACACTTCTGAATGGAAGCAGTCAGTGCCCTTAAAGAGGACTGATTAATGGTGGTCAGCTTAAATTCCCCTTGACAATTCTAAGCGGCGTAAGGGGGTAGTTCCTATGCTGCCTTAGGGATTATATGGACTGAATTCAATACTGCTGAGACTAAATAAGCCACATCTCCGAAATCATTAGAAACACCATTGCGATCTTTAGCTATTTACCTCTATAGAGAATGAACCAAATACACAATGAAAGAATCAACAATCGAGTAAATAAACCATGGCCATGATAAAAGGACTGCTTGAGAGGTGCGTCTTTGACACTGGCATCTTTAGCTTCACGAAGTGCATGTTTCCGTGGCACAAGATGAAAAAAGTTTCCTATTTATGGCACGGAGATGAGCGCAGTTTCGTCGTGAATAACATCTAAACACTCACATGAAGTTTAGAGAATGTGTATTTTTGAGCAAGCACGGGTGAACTGACATTGTTGGACGTCATTGAGAGGGGAAAGGAATTTCGCTCTGTACTCGTCGGCCGGCGACGAACCTCTATTCGACCCCCTGAAACAAGAAAAATAGGATATTACAATCTTACCCATTCAAAATTCTGATGCAGAGTCAAGCTGACCAACCATGACAGAAGTCGAGATGTACTGCTTTTGTTTTGTGGTCAAGCGGTGGGTAGCAGTTATTGAGGAGGGTTTTTTTCGAGATCGACAATATATCCTTTGCTTTCCTGAAAAAGTATAACGTTGATTTTTGACTATTACTTTTTAGTTCAAAGATGTGAGAGTGATGATCCAATTATAGAACAGCTTGCATCTCTTTGAAGTCACGGTCCGCAATAGGGAGCGTTGGTAGTAGTGTTAAAATATGAACGAGAACTTGCCAAGGGACTTGTCCTCAGAGTCTCAGCTACGAGCGATCCGCATACAGAAAATGAATAACTCGAGGGCCACCCCTAAACAGGGCCTCTTTCTGGCCTCCAGCACTGATGACCGTTTTTTGTTTTTTTGCGTACGGAAATGAGCGCCGTCTTGGCGACCAAACTTAACCCCTCTATCTACTTCATGCAGCCCTCACTCCGCCTTACAACAGACAATGGGACCTCCCAACCTTGTATTCAAACAATGGAGCGTCGCCGATTCGCCCTACTGCAGACACGGCGTTAGTATGGGGGCGACCCTAGTCACCAGGCAAAAAAGGGATAGGTGTCACTCGGAACACAGTTAGCTCCTCATAGCCCATTTGCCCTCCAAACAGTCTATATAATTCCTGCACCCTACGATACCATCTTCAGTCGCTTTGTTACAGTGCCAAACTACACATTACCCTTCCCCTTCCCTTCACAATTTTTTTTTTGCATTTTCATAGGTCATCGAAGACCTTTCCAAATTTTATTCTTTAGGCCGAAATAAATTGTTTCTAGCGGACGCTGTGCGACTGCCCGCTCATCAATCAAACACCTGCGGTTGCTTATAGCAAAACTTCGCGAAGCGCGCCTACGAATGAGATAATCGGGTCTCCGTTCTAACAGGAATCGTCTACTTCGGCGCCACTCCATTGCAGCTCACCACTCGTTATCTATCATACATATCACCAAATAAACTAAAACTGTACCTTCCTCTATCTTATACTGTCTTCTCGCAAACAACATACGACCAGTTACTTTCACTGATTTCTCCAAGACGACAATGGCAGGGCCCGACGCTCATGCAAAGAAGCCATCGGCAGCCAGTCCAAGGAGATCCTTCCGCGTCTGGAAGCCGGGATTCATTAATTTGCCAATAGAAATCATTGCGAATGTTCTCACGAACTCACTACAAGGATGATCAATCGCCTGCCCATGATAGCTTTCTGATGTTCGATGATGGAAATTCAGCGCAAACACCGTGCATACCACAGAGGCACCGACTTCGAACATTATGCAGGAAAAGTAGACCTCTGTAAAAAGAACATTACTCAGCGCTATTCATCACAGTCGATATCTCGCACTCCGTCGGAGGGGAATCGGGAAGGGAGCCCACCCGCGGCGTTTTTTCACCACTGGTTGTTTTCTAATTTAACCGGCTCCTGTTGGAAAAAAAACGCAGCCGCGGGTGAGCTTACTGTAATCATGACAATTTGAAGTGAGAGTGAGAAGAAGACATACCTATCAAAGGTAGAGCATCACTGGTTTGGGGCATAGCTTCAGCTACCATCAGCATGAACACACAGAGTGACATGAAGATCGTCACACCTAGGGAGACAGAATACAATGAATTTTAGCAGTACGGAATAAAAAGGAAAATGTTTGAGTTCAAATCAGGAAGCATTTGGGCCTCTTCTGACACATGGTGGACCATTTTGTGAAGAGATGAAACTCTTGTAAGGTTACGAAATGGCACAGAAGTGCAGTTCGGATTGATGAGGGGATGGTGTTCAGCGAGTCATCGTAAAGGTCACTTCGTGAAGACGTGCAAATTCTTGTAATCAAATGGCTCACTGGCGCAGCTCGGCGGTGGGGGAGGGGGATTTTGCACTTCTGCTGCTTCATTGACTCCGTTTTTCAAGTCTCACTCTGGTGAGGCCTATGAATTCTTGTGAGGCTAGAGTACGCTCGTCGAGCAGCTATGGTAATCGGTATTTGCTTGGTATTTCATTGCTTCACAAGAGTTGACAGGTGGTCTCTACAAATTTTGGCTGGTATCATTTCGTGCTTCATAAGATTCCACAGGCTCTACTTGATGGTTTGACGCGCCGATGGGAAGAAGCAAAGGTGCAGAATGCCCCCCCCCCCTTCCGACGCAGAACTGCGCCTGGCTCACTTGTACTATTTCGCAGCTTCACAAATTCTCACATGTCTCATTAAGTTGTGACCGCTTAATCGAAGAGATTCAATAAAAGGAACTAGCGATTCAGCAGGGAACCTTCGCTCCCTGTGCCCCGCAAAGCCAATGAGCGCTACAGATTACATTTCTGCGGCACTTCTTCTTTAGCCTTTTATGTTATACAGCATCTAAGCAGAGATTGGTGAGCCGTGGAAAGGGAGGGGGGAAGGACTAGCCTTATTGCAAGGGGAAGGAGCTTCTTGCTAAGTGAACCGAATTTCAAGAAAAATGGTTCGAAAGTGAAATCCGTAACATTTCGTGGATTAACAGTTAGTGAACTTTACAGGAGTTTGCACAAAACTCTCTCCCTGCTCCGAAAAAAAATCATTGAATGACATAACATCGAAGCGAAAATGAAGACATGAAATCATCTTTACAAAAGTGCCGAGGTGTAAGCCACAAAAGCTGCAACCATATTCGAAATGGATAGCGGAAACCTACATAGCCGTTGAGCTTTTTCACCTTGAATCGGCAGCAACGATGAAACCCGAGGCAGAGCTAGAGCAGAAGATCAACATTCGCTGCGCGTAAGAACAGGTTTGAACCCTGAAAGATATGCCAAGTACCAGCTGAGTATATTTGGGTTAGCGTGGCATGCCAGTGCTGCACTTGCTTCTGTCTGATTCTGGTATCAATGAACCGATTCTCAGAGCAATAGAAATGCTTGTGGGTGGCCTGCTATTGGAAATCCGATTCGAGATTTGATACTCAGACTACACATGCAGCGCGGTGGCACAGAGAGTGACAACGGATTTGTTTTGATTGCTCAAATGCTCACCCGTAGTAAAGCGTACGTCTTCTTATTGAGATCGTGAAGGTGATGTCATAATAGGGTTCTGGACAACACTCATAATAGAATATCGATCTCTTCGATGTGAGATCTGAAGTATATCCATGTTCAAGCATCTGTATTAAAAACATTTTTATCAATTATCCTTGTGTTATCGCCTGGCGGGCGCGACTTCGCTGGGCGGGCAACGACTGTTCGCTGACGCACGGGCGCGACTTCGCGCAGGCGGTGTGCGACTTCGCCAAGCTGGCGCGCACGTCGCGCGAGGGCGCGTGCTGGCGGCCGCGACGTCGCTGGGCGGGCCGCGATCGTCGCTGGGCGGGGCCGCGATCGGTTCGCTGGGCTCGGGCGGCGAACGTCGCTGCGGGCTGCACGGTCGCTGGCGGGGGGCGGACGTCGTCTGGGCGGCGCGCGACGCATCGCTGGGCGGGGCGCGACAGATGCTGGGCGGGCGCGACGTCGCTGGCGGGAGCGCGACGATTCGCTGGCGGTGCGCGGACTTCGCCGCGCTACCTTTCTATCGTTATTGTTTAGAAGCCTCAATGCTAATATCCGGCCATCCTTTTACTTGTGCACATGGTCGACGGCTCCTTGACCAATAACATCATATCTGCTAATTTCAACACTATTTCCGCGAATGGCATGGTCCAAGGAGCGTAGATCAAGTGCGTGCGGTGAAGGGCCATATCACAGAAGGCGCGACGGCGGATCGAGTGGTATCAGCCAGTGAGTCGACTGGTATCAGGTCTACCTGTGATGACCGGCGACCAAGAGAATAGCTGCCTATGCAGCACCACTCAAAAATTAAGCACCTTGTGCTAGGGAGCACGCTCCGCTTCGCTCATAGTGAGCGGGTCATATCACACCCGCTCACTATGAGCGACTATCGCCGGACGTTCCTCTTCTCCCACAATTTTCGCTGATCTCGAAATTTCCTCAAGGATCGAGTTACTTATGTATGTATGAGTTTCGTTATGTAGCACCTATTTTGGATGTATCTCCCCTAGTCAGTTTGAACCTCTTGCTAACCTCCATCTTCTAACTTTCTCCCCATCTATACAATGCTCTGGAACCGAATTACGATTTCTTATCTGTGACATCGCCAACGTTGGGCGCTGCTCCGTCCGCTGTGGGCGGGGCTTCGTATAGGTCATGTGTACTCTTTACACCTTCTCACCTTCCGAACCTTGACCCGACCTCACCGCTGCTCTTCAGGTAGAACTAAATTTCTGGACAGACAGACAGACAGACAAACAAACAAGCAAACAAAAAATACAGACGTTGCAAATTATATATAGAAGGGATAATACTGTCATGGAATCGCCTTCACTGCGAGTATTGATAATCTAATGTCAATATTGCCAAGGCAAAAGCAGTAAGACAGCAAAAGATACAGACACGAAATCCCTGATATGCGGCAGGCATTCTTACATGATCATTTGAACATGGTGTCGGCTGCGTATTGGTAGGATATTTTCATTTTCAGGCCATTGTAGTCCT